GATAACAATCTCAAAAATATATCCTTAACATAGTTAGATAGTGTTTGACACGGTTTGGGTAAAGATTGATACTTTTCCTTTTTTTTACAAAATAAACTAAACGCTATTAAAAACATATAAGACGGTAGCGCCGTGAAACATAAAAGTGAATACCACACGAACTATGTATAGGAATGTCACCTGTATATCATACACAGTACTAGTACTGACCTTAAACACAATAGGTCTCAATAATAAGCGTATCAGATGGAAAGGTATACACATACTCGCTAATACCCAGCTGATTTTAAATGTTTAAGATATCAGACATGTAGTTACTATTGTCTGCTGTCATTCATGAGAACAGTAGAAAGTCTGGGACAAAGACCCAGTGTTTGTATAGATGTATATGTAGTGTGTATACATTGCATTGTTCTGCCAGGTTTGACCGATATTTGGCTATGTATTACGATATGGCTAGATGTCAATAAGAATAGTATTAGTCCAATTTCTTCTTATTCTTTGTATCGGCCCTGTCATTATTTCACTTGCTAACAAAGAATTCCTATTGAAGTCTAAGAATTACAGCTGATTTATCGAGACACGGGAAAATAGTGATGTACAACGTTAACCATGTACTATAGTCTGAATAACTTACACTGAAACGTTAATTGTGTGACAGCTGGGCACAATAACTATCTACATTGTACTTTCTCTGGAAATTAAATCTATCTTTCTTTCATAAGTAAGTAGCCCTTATTATCTGTATACTCAATTGTAAACGATGTTTGCTTTAGCTGTGTTTTCAAATATGACTCCACAAAAAAAACACCAAAAAACCCCAAGGAAAATAATTATTTAAAATAAGAATGACAAATTAAAAAGACGCATTGGGATTATGTTTCCCACGTCAATAACGTGAAAGCATTTGGAAATAACAAAGGACACCTATCTGGTAATATGTCAAAATAAGTATGTGTCTGCACTATGTCAATGTATTCCAATAACTAATTATGTATTAATTTTTTTTTCTGTAATTGAAATAGCAATTGATACAACCTAGCTACAGTAGTGTACCATAGCAGCAAGATCATTTGAACGTTAGAGTGTTTATGGAAATCTACATCAAATGAGGAACAAAAACGAAACATGAAATAAACTGGTCGCTTAATGAAAACATCTTATATGAGTATAAATCTGGAATAAGTCTCTTTATTTATTTTTATTTAGATATTAAAGTTTTAAACGCTTTTGGTGAGAGAATTATGTCTAACTTTGATACGCTTTCCATATTTTTTTTTCAGAAAATGGTGGATCGTAAGGTTTATCGCAAGAGAGATGTTTCATTACTCATATTGTTTCTTAAATTATGTCTTAATTTCGAAAATAACTTTTGGTGAATAGATTGAAATATACAAGCACCACAGAAGATCGTACGTTTAATATGCTATATTTAAGACATGTATGTAAAAACTGTCTTATAATTCTGAACGGGATTCCAGACAAATCGAATAACGCGCGGTTAAATGTTTTTGCGAAGTTAGATATGAAAGAATACGACCTTATTGTTTCAATAGAACCGCCACAATCGCTGTCAATAAAGATGTGTGACAATGAGAGAGGGGACATTGACAGATGACGGGTATGGTCAGTATATTATAATACTGTTATTGGAGATATTTATGATCACGAGGGGTTGTACTCCCTAGATCTAATTAGGTCCTGAAAGATGTGTGTGTTCATATACAATTATCATATACGGCCTGGTACACAGGTCTACAACCTAGCCATTTAAAGAATTATCAACCTAACGTCCAATTAATTTCCTTTTCATATTATTTTTTCCAACAGTTTAAAGATTTTTTTGTCAATTTGAAGTAAACAGGTTTTATTGTAATTAACTCAAATTCTTTATTTGCATTTGTACTCTTTGATTTTCGTGAAAATATTAAGACTATGCTAATGGAAATATAGCAGTATAATTGTCAAGCTAACGAAGCATGGGCCAACCTATAACAATCAGTTGGCATGAGAAAACGTGCTGAATAATTGATGGGTGCCACCGCCCATCACTGACACTGCACCTGGTGGCTACCTACCCAGTACGATACGTGATTTTATAGGAGACAGCGTAATAACATATTTACCATTGGTCTATTTCCTGTTAAAACGGAAAATTTCAGTTGTATATTTAATGCTTCAATTGTTTTTAAGTATAATAGCTTCCTTATGCAGTTTTTTGTACGCATCACTGATGCATTGTTTCGTTACTTTAAGTACCAGCACTACTGTCCATTTGCTTTCAATCATCAGCGCTGTTTTGTTCAATGGTTTAAGTACGATTGCTGCTTTGTGCAGCGAACGAACGTTGATTTTTATCATTTGTTTTAAATATAATTGCTGACTTAATCCTCTGCTTAGAAATAGTTTTGCTTTGATATGTTATGTTTAAGAACAACCTTGCTGCTTGAAAGCAATCTCCTTAACTTGGGTGCCGAGGTTTAGATTGAAAATGCTTTGTAATCAACGATGGAATGCGTGTTATAGCCGGTTCTACGCATTAATATTTATATACGTCAAAACTCTATAGAAACAGGTTGATGCAAGATTCTTGTCATTTCAAAAACGCAAGATGACAGCAGGTTTTCAATCAAATTTGCAATCAAATATCTCGCAGGAAAAATGAAATTTGAAATGATATCAATTAAGATGTGCTGGCGATAAATAAAAAAAGTTAAACGATTTCATGATATTTTATCAATAAGAATTACACTGATTATTTCCAATTAACCCTGCAAAGACTGAAAAAAACACGTGACTGAACTAGTTCAACCTTATACATCAAACTTAACGAAATAAAACACTGCCTTAGAATAAAACAAGCATTTAATTATCACTGTTACATTGTAACAGCGGACATTGATTGAATTATAGGATGCTTTGCACTTGAACGACCCGGTGCTGTTGATAACCGCCATTTATGATGCCGGGTTCCCGATGTCGTGACAAGGGATACTAAACCAGGCCAGTGTAGGGTGGGGACATATACAGTCATACCATACCCGTTAATGAAGCGACTCTAGCTGTCAACGAGACAATTTACACAAAACTGTTTCTGTTTTATATCTGTATCAGTGGATCCCCTCGATGATAGATGCACTTTAAGTTTTACATTCGGAACTCTACGGCCTGTTCAATATGGAGAAGGAAATAAAACCGGCCGAGCTGCCGACGTAGTCTCCTTCAAGCATATCTACACGTAATTGTCTCTGTTTTATGTATGTACAATTGGACCCCCTCAACGAAAATCTTACTTTTGGAACCTCTAGGCATGCGCATTACCTTTATAAAATCGTATCGACGCAACGAATTGGTATTGCATTTATTATAAAATATTCCTTAAACACGGAAGTATAAAACCATCAGAGGATGCTAGAATTTAACGACACATCATGACATCATCCCTAATGGGAGAATTGCAAAGAGCAATCAGGATACCGATTTCTCGTCGAGTTTAACGAAGCAAAACCTTCAAGAAACGCCTATTTTCTCCAAGATTTTGTAAATATGTTGTCATGATTATAACGCAGTTACCTTCTACGGATTTTGTAAAGCAACGTAAGACATATCTAGTCTACAATGATAATTAAAACAGACAAAGTTAATAGAGTTTGTATAACTCTCTATCTATGCCATATTATATATGTATCCCTTAACATGTTTTCTTTAACAGTACACATACAAAAGCAAAATAAATGCTTATTGCAGGCTGGGCCTTCTCCAACTCTTGTTTTAAGCTTACGAAGTAATGAATTAAAAAAAGCTATACGCGCACATCGTTAAGTATTCTACTTCATTGATTCATTGATTATGTTTGATTCGCAAATGCCTGTAAAATGGTAAAGCGATGTAAATTCAGCTGCAGTAAGAAGTTGTCACAGAATATTCGAAATGTATCGAGCAAAGCATAGAGTGAAACCTCGTTATACTGACACCGTTTTTCCATAGACATTTTGGGGTTATTACATTTTTTGGCAATAAATGAGGTAAATGTATAAAGTATTTCTTAAGAAAAAAGAGAAAATGGGACATTTGAAATGTGTTGGCGGCAACTGTGGAGGATATGAAACTAGGGGCACTATATATATATATATATAGATGAAGTCTATACAATAACAGTTTGTTTAACACATATACGATTGTAAATGGGGAAACGTGTGATGTGTTTAAACGCATGATCTTACCTTTATATACACCTTGTTGAAATGGAGTCCTGCCATATGTGTAGCGTTGACACCTCGTCACTGCATCTTTTATTGTGTTAAAGCATTGTTGCCGTGACGTCATATTACTGTTCTGATTGGGGAATCCCATTGTCTCAACCCTCTAGGGAGACAAACATCTCATTACCATGAATGCTTCTTACTATTATTTCAGAACATTTGATCGATATGGTAGAGGAAAGGGAATCTTCCTTACGGTATAAGTATTCAAGATATTCCCTAACCTTGGGGTGCGATTCCAGTCTTAAATGTCTTAAATGTCACGGAGTTCACCTAAGGTAGACATTTCTCTGCCGTGCCTTTACAGAAAGGAAATGCTTCACTGTTTCCAGACGAATATACATGTATTTACATATAGGTAATGCGCCCTACAGCTGTAATTTGTATGCATCTCTTTGACATTGTCATGTGTTGTTATATATATCCTGTGCTTGTTACCTAAATTGTAAAGTGTTCTGTTTTACGTATTAAATATTACAAAAATGAATTTGGTATACATAGAACAAGTACCTCATTGAATCGGTCTTTTTTCGATATCACTACACATTTGTTCTGTATAGATGAAACGAGTCAACAAACGGCCAGTTTCTAAATAAGCGTACAAACATGGCTAACGATGGTCAACACAGCTCTTGTTTCGGATGTTTCTTGAAAAATACATTTACCTCGTCGTTTAGATCAATATATAATTGTAGATGATGATATAATCCGATAGTTTATTTCTGTTTGTAATTACAGGATATCCCCGACAGAATCAGCTGGTCAATGACGCGTCACCGGTAAATTGTCTTATCCTTGACGACAACCCTGGACATCGAATGGGCACCTTAGCGTTAATCGGTCGTGTGATGGCGTGTGTCGAGGATTCAATCGACATACATCAACTATGCATGGATAACCCAGTCTCTGAAAGATTGTGCTACCAAATCTATCTTTGATCGAAATGTTAGTGGCCATGGTTAATTCATTTATGGTACAAACATTCCGAAATATTAACTTTCTGATGTATCTTTATCAAGGACAATACTATAAATATAAGTCGAGTTTCTAAAGATTGAATAATTGATTTTTTTAGAAATCCTAAGAAACTTTTCGGTATGTGAAACAACTTTTTATCTAGAATATTTGTTACATATACATTGTATTGTGTGGGTACAATATCATAACAAAACACGATCGATCTCCAGGCCTAATCTTGTATTGTTTGGCACTGCGATATTTATCTACATAGGGGAAGTACATGACCTAAAGAAACAGGTCTGTTCGCGCCTTCAGGTGATCGATTACATCGCACCTTAGAGTGCAACACACGTGTACAGATTTCCTTATAATGTCGGTGGCGTGCTATAAAGCACGCGATCTATTTATATGCACGCGTGCATCACAATGTGTGTCTGGATATATAACGGATTAACGTAATAGACGCTATTAATTCTTCAAAGTTGGATGTGAGCAGGGATTTTCGAAACGAATTTATTCCGCAAAAGCTTTCAATCGTGGAGTTGGTACGTATCGTACGTACATTGCACGTGTTCACGTGCAGATGTGTATTTGTCTGGATAATGGATAAGTCTGCATCTTAGACAAGGATTATTGACGATAAGTTTATTTTTAAATATCCAAACGGAAAATTCGAAACGAAATAAACTCTGGATTATCATCTAACCCTACAACTTTTCCTGGTGTTTTTTTGTTGCTTACATATTTGTTTGTAAGTTGTTTGAAAAATACAACATTCTCGAGGATCGTTAGGATCAAGCTTGATCAAACACGTTCTGATTCGTTGTGCCGGATAATTTCCACATCAGGACTACTTAAGTGAATTTGCAGATTTTGCTCAATTCAAGGACGTACGGAACTGATTACTGAAATCGACATTTACAAGGTGTGGAGAAACTAGTCACGATTCCGGATTATATGCTTCTCAGAAATCCCCCCCGACTTCTTTCATCTCTAAATTAAATATGACTACTGCCGAGTATTGGAAATTCATAATACCTGAAGCAATTAATGTAGACCGTGTTCCACACTTACCTGTATACATTTAATTGACACAGATCGCCGTTAAACTAGCCACTACCGAGATTTTAATGTTTACTATTTCATTGTTTTATAGACTACCAGCTTAAATTACCTCACGTTATCTTTCTATCGATTTCTAGCGTATAACATGTTAGGATAACATTAATCTAGAATTAACATTTACACTCAATCAGTGTACGTGGTATTTCAATATTGTAATTTTTCAGGACGAATACTAGTACGTGTATTGATTTTTAAGTAAAATATGTATATTGTATCATATTTCATAATATTATCACATTCTAAAAGTAGGAAAACAGAAAGACGTACCTGAACACTGAACTCAAGTTTATTATTGGTGTTCGACATGATATACAAATGGTATATATACAAACCATTCAGAATTAATCAAAAATAACGAACAAACGGGCAAGGCATTGCTTAATAGTATAAAAATAAATAATATTGATTTCGTGTATTTTCCATGCTATAGTAGAAAGTGTATGTATCACAAGAAGTACGTGTTTATGTGTGACATTTAGAAATTCCCATGATATAGTTATACAGCAATTAAAAATACGTCGGCCTTGGATAAGGTTAATTGTGACTTGTGTATACGGTGACAACACAATGAAGTGAATTGGACTAATCCCCGGGTGTATCACATTAGTATATACCATTATGTTGGGGCCAATGCCAGATCGAGGTGTGAAACATTCAGAACAAGACCCGCAGGAATTAGTTCGAGCTCGGGTCCCTTCGTCGCGTCCTGCTAGTTTACGATTAAACAAACAATACGTGTACTTGTCAGATGAAGGAGAAGACAGCGCCGAGAATAACCGTCATTTTAACAATACTTTAGAGAGTTATGTCCGCCGACGAGCGAAGTATTCGAAACGTAAGTCATCAAAAAGAGCATCGGCCTCAAAAATAACAAAATCGACAATGGCTGACGACGATTCTGATGATGACGATTCTATCTTCGGACTAAGTGACGGGGAGCTAGAAGAAGGTATGATGCGGTGTAGTTTCGGAAGATTTTCCAAACGACGAGTTATCAACAACTTACAAGTGAAATGCAATTTATCACCCCGTCGAGAATGTCGATGTTCTGCTACGGTTACGGAGCACGATGAGTTAGTTTGTGGTTGGGAATCTAAATACCAAACTGGAAAATATTACAGACCTGTGAAAGTAAAACGGAAGACACAAAATCATAATATTCCGCATGCGTACCAAAGAATACTTCCGGAGCGAGATACTGGATTCGACTTTCATCACTATGAGGAACCGTCGCAGTATATGGAACAGTACCGACACAACCACACTGTGGGAGACGTGTGTAAGGTTTCTTATTACCACAGCGATGACGTCACAATGGCAGACCATTACGCACCTAGGGCCAAAGGAAATGTCTGGTGAGTTGAAACAATCATGGTCACTGAATAGCATTTTTTAATTTGCATTTGTGTCAAATACAGACTAAATACTAAATTATTTACTGAAGAACAGAAAAATATAGACCCAAATCTTTCTACATGCTAAAAGTACACTCACTTGAATTAAATTTATTTTGAACTATCTAAAACATTTTTGGTTTGTGAAAGACTATTTTGCAGATGCGGAGAACTAGCGCGCTATAGCACGCCCGTTTAAAAAAACCCAACAAAACAATTGCAGACAAATGTACGTAAGTCGCCATCGTCTTCTTTTTTTCACATTTTTTTTATACGGAACATAATCATTATCAACTCTCAGATTTTAATTGTATTTGGCTCTTCAAAATATATACCGCATTTAAGGACAATTTACACGGACTAGGCCGAAAACACAGAAGTACAGTGATTGGTTTTAGCGTGCCTGTCGGTGATAAATATGCAGTTTGATGGTTTTCTTCTGTTTGTTACCTTTTTTATACTTTACCAAAACTTCACTTGCCGATTCGCTTATAAAAGGATACCCACAGTTATCAGCACGTACACAGGAAGTATAGGTCTGGACGGAAGTGACAACATGGCGTAAAATATTTACGAATTACTATATCATAAAGCGAAATATACTTTTTAATCTCCCAGTCGTGTGTCTGCTGAATAGGTCTTATCTAAAACGATGTGTCTATAGAAAAGAAAACATTCTTACCAATCGATCACTCTTCTTGTAGAAAAGTTCGATACTTACGGATTAATCCAACATTAGTGTTGAACTCGTGTTGATGTCTTGCCGTCGAAACATCGGATTAGTTTTTAATAATGTAAACCCTGGAAGGAAATTAAGGCTAACAGACCATGAAAAAGTGAACTGAGACGGACAGACTGGCAAAACTTACTTGTTTTAACATAGACACACTGGCATACAGATTCCATTAAGAAAATATTGCATTATTCTAACATTGTAAAAACTACAATTAGCAAAACGAAATGGCGAAATATGGAAATATCATATTACAGTCTGTTATTTAGATACATATAAATGTACCTTGGAGAGAAGGGTATTGATAATCACCCCTAACATCACTGCTTACCGAGGAATAAAGCTATCTGTTTCGCTTTAGTTGGTAACTTTAATGGGAAAGTTAGGCTTAACGCGGTCGTAGTTGTCTATTCACAATTTGAGTATTGCATGTTTTTCAATTTGAAAATATGATCTTTGTACTTTTAACCTCAACCTTTCTGCAAATGCCATATTTATTTTCAATACCCCGGCTTAAGTGAGATTAACTTAAAGTGTTAGTACTAATCCGTCAGAATTAGTTCAACAATATTATGCTATGGCTTAATCACCGTCTCCTCTACACATACCTACAGGTATGTTAGATTTACTTTGACAAACTGTATGGACACTCTAACAAGAAACATATAAAATACAATTAAGACAAACGTTGTAGGATTTTCTACATTTTTGCAACTACTCTTTCTTATCGTTACGTTTAGAGTAAACCTTGTACATCATAAGGCGTAGAACTAAAGTTGAGGTCGTGTTACGATGAAGTATAACTGTTTCTTCATCGGTTCTCTTACAATAATACGCGACATATACCCGAACGCTTCGTGGTTTGTTGCACAATGTATGTATCGTATTAAGCAAATGTGTAACGCGACTTTATACAGGTAACTAAAACATACATTCGCGGTCAGTATGGTGTTCTCCAACATTGACACTGGATCGGGAACCACAGTGGAAGACTGTCAATGGTATCTTAGGACGTTAATGGGATAGGAGATATAATGAAGGGCGCCACCTGGAGGAGATATAATGAAGAGCACCACCTGGAGGAGATATAACGGAGGGCGCCACCTGGAGGAGATATAATGAAAGGCGCCACCTGGAGGAGATATAATGAAGGGTACAGGGAACACCGTTCCGTTCGTAACATAAGGTTTTAGGATAAATGGATTGTTTTATTTTAGATGTACTCCCTTTTGTTCTGGTGTCGCAGCAATTTTTTAATGTCTTTTCGTGGTATACATTTCCCAAAACATGTATATAACATAAAAGTCTAGTCAGATACTTAATTAACAGATGGAGTCATACCGTTGTCTAGTTCGATACTAAACTAACAGATGGAGCCATACCGATGTCTAGTCCGATACTTAACTAACAGATGGAGCCATACCGATGTCTAGTCCGATACTTCACTAACAGATGGAGCCATACCGTTGTCTAGTCCGATACTTAACTAACAGATACAGCCATACCGATGTCTAGTCCGATACTAAACTAACAGATGGGACCATACCATTGTCTAGTCAGATACTTAATTAACAGATGGAGCCATACCGTTGTCTGGTCCGATACTTAAATAACAGATGGAGCCATACCGATGTCTAGTCCGATACTTCACTAACAGATGGAACCGTACCATTGTCTAGTCAGATACTTAATTAACAGATGGAGCCATACCGTTGTCTAGTCCGATACTTAAATAACAGATGGAGCCATACCGATGTCTAGTCCGATACTTCACTACCAGATGGAGCCATACCGATGTCTAGTCCGATACTTCACTACCAGATGGAGCCATACCGATGTCTAGTCCGATACTTAACTAACAGATGAAGCCATACCGATGTCTAGTCCGATACTTCACTAACAGAGGGAGCCATCCCGATGTCTAGTCCGATACTTCACTAACAGATGGAGCCATACCGATGTCTAGTACGATACTTAACTAACAGATGGAGCCATACCGATGTCTAGTCCGATCCTTAACTAACAGATGGAGCCATACCGTTGTCTAGTCCGATACTTAATTAACAGATGGAGCCATACCGTTGTCCAGTCCGATACTTAACTAACAGATGGAGCCATACCGTTGTCTAGTCATACGCGTTCTGTAGCATTAAAGACCCTTGTCCCTCTGCACGGTGGATTGTACGTGTAGTATACACAGGACGTCTTTTAACCGGGTAACTCGGTCGTTTAGAGTAATAGTATATCAAGCTGGAGTCCAGGGTTCGCATTTTAAGCTAACCTAGCTCTTTTGCTTCACTCAGAATACTGTTGTTGATTATATTTTATTTTATTTTTTCTTTATAACTACTTCAATAATGTCCCACGTGGTATTGGGTTCCTTTCAATCTCTTCAGAAAATATTGATCAAAGCTATCGTCGTGCCTGATAAAACAGTTTCCTATGCATAGTTACAGTTTCTGGCTACGGTACGGGGATCCTTAATATTTATCGAGACGTCACTTTAATATTCCTCTGAAGGATATCATATAGAGCTAGCTCGGTTAAATTCTCAAGCACCATTAATGTCAAAATAGGGAATAAAACGTCTGTGTCGGGTATTCAAACCATGTTTATTGTCTAAGCTACTTGCTATTTTCAAGTATCCTAGCTTTGAATAACGGTATTATGACCAACATTACACATTTTAAAACATATTTCCCCTTTCCAATCAATATTCTTATTGCAGCAGGTTACAGTTTGTACATAACGAGCAGCAACGATCCAAAATAAATAATGAATATATCTGATTAAAAACTAAAACGAAAATGGATACTACTGTTCCTTTTCCGGTGTAGTATCAACAAATCGATGATTTATAAATGAGTGATGCATTAGTGGGAACACTTCAAAAATATAACAATATCGATTTAAGTTTGCTGACGCCTCTTTATAGATCCTTTCAAATGAACAAAAAGGTATTTCATATACATGTTGTTTGCCGATGTTAATAAACCGCGTTTGCTCATGAATACCGCTATCGTTAACGAGGAAATGTATATCACAATTATTAATTCTGCACGTGATTGTGTATGGATAAACATAGGTAATAGATAAGACTTTAATCTTTGACCTCGTAAACAAACGGACTGAGAACCACACTACCCGTATTTCTGCGGATGGAGATATTCCGTCCTTGCGTATTGCAGAGTTATCTTCTCTTGTGAGCAGGTATTGATTGTTACGTCATTTGTTTGTGAGAGTAACGTCATCATTTTTGAGAAAACGACGTAATTTTCTCACACAAACCAATGACGTAACAATCATTACCTGCTCACAAGAGGAGATAAGTCTGAAATACGCAAAGTCGGAATAATGCTGTCAGTTTCATGTAAAATATCAGAGATGGAATTGTTTTGCCATTTCTAAAACCAGAAGAGAAAAAAAATGTTTGAAAAACTCTATAAATACACGTATAATGTATTCAATTATTAAATATGTTTTTGAGTTTCATTTCTAAAGTGTATGTCCTCTAATTTTGTCTGCCTTCAACTGACTGCAATCCATGCCTGTATGCTCAGAAGGCCACCTTTGTAGATCTTCTGCACATTACTAGTGAATTAAAATGTTTACATGACTTCCCGCGCAGTTCTGAGACGTAAACTGAGCAATATCAATTCATAACAAAGGGTAACGAAGTATTGTAGGTAAATTGTTTCTGCCTATGGTTAATGATGGAAGCTAGACGAACAAAATGGATTTTAGATCACCAAATAGCAAAACTGTGTTTGAAGTGACTGACAGCGACCTGCTTTCTTTTTTCAGCTCAATTGCCGAGAATTGTGACTTCCTTGCTATCCTGTCGGTGGGTCGAGAAAATGAGTATGTATATCTTCTAATAATTAATGGTATCTAAAATAATTCATGAACTTTATAACATTTAAGAAATATAAGCCACGCTATCGGAAAGTTCACCAATGTCATAAATTATAAAGTGTGACATAGAGAAATAAATTCAAATATATTTTCATATCATTTTAGTGGATACATTAAATATAAAAGCATTTATTTGGATAAGCATTGCAACCATAGATAAATCCGAAAGTACAAACGTTTGTAAGTAAGCTTCATACAGCACAATGCTTTTATTGTAAAAAAGAGTAATGATTGCAGATACATGTAGCATGACATTTTTTTAATAGTGACGTCATGACGAATCATCATCTTTACCATAGCAACACCAATATGGGTCATCACCAGTCACACCACCTGTCCGGTCACGATCTTCATTCAGAAGAGGAAAACAATGACGACACAGAAAAGAACATGTCAGTACATGATCGAGGAAAAAAGCTCAATCTTGCTCCGGTTAGAAAAGCAACTACCTCAAGACCAAAGCTGTGTAAATCGAACATGAAAATGACTCCCAAGAAAACCACACGATCTACTCATAGCCAATATCTAAATTTAGTGATTCCTAAAACCACCCTCCACCGGAAGGACCTCCAATTGAATGTGCAGCCTGTGAAAGACACTTACGCTGCCCGTTTTGACACACGACGGTTAACTAGTTGTCCAAATAAAAATGCATTCATTAGAACCGGAAGTGCAGACTCTGTACAAAGTCCTCAACAGTTAACAGGAGGGGAGAACTCTCCAGTACATCGTATGGTAGAGTTAAAATATTCGCGGTCAAATACATTTCATATCAACTCTGCTCCTATTCCAGGACACGTGCAACTTCCGCGAGAACCAGTTGCAAACCGTGGATCTTCCCAATATGGCAGTCCAACTAAAGGGCGTCATTCCAGAGGATGTGATAGAATACACACCATCCTGCCTAGTTTTCCGAACGATATGCATAACAAAATTCACGCAAAGACCACCAACAACGTAAATGCAAATGGAGGTCCGTACCAGATGACCCCCTTTCCTCGTCCCCAGGCCCAGAGAGTGTGGGAGGGAGGTGACCGAGTAAGTAGTGACAGCGTCAAAAATGACACGGTGATTCCAGTGCCATTGGGATCATTTGGAGTCAGAGGTCGCACGTGCAATGGGGAAGATCGCGTCACGATTGGTTATCGTCTCAAGCGAGACCGAGAGAGACGTGTCGGTTTGTCAGCTGTCACATGAAACGAAGACTTGCACAAGTCCATTCAGTATTTTGTCTGATGATTACGGCTTTTCACATGCATAAGTGTAGTTTTTAAGACAAACAAGACAATTATCTGTGTACAGTATCTTATATATAATAATGTAACGTTTCTTGTGTATGCATTATAAGAAAATTCCTTCTGCTTCTTTGATTAATGGAGTAAAAGTTTTGTCAGGGCCTCAGGTGTTTTTCCCAATTAAATTGAAATGTGTAGGAATACGTACCATATGGGAGGAGATATAGGAAGCTAGATACTTTTGAGTATATACAATATATTTGACCATTGATACCAACTGAAATATAAACAAGTACCTAATGTACCATAATACAAAAACCGAAAAAAATCCAAAACGTAATTATGAAATTAGAAACAAACCAGTTAACGCCTCGCAAAGAATCCAACTTGATATGCTTACAAGGGGTACGTAAGTTACACATATTGGACAAAACGTGAATGAGCCTGTGCAAGTCTTCTCGTCAAACAATTAAATATTATGTTGTGTATGAGATGAAGTATGGCGATCCTAACAGTGTACCACTATGTTGTTGTATTGGCTTGTATTGTCTGAGAGCAGTATGTAGTACACATAACCTGACGCAAAACACTGTTGCTGGTATACCAGATTAAATTATTTTTATCATGATTTTCGTTTTGTTTGCTTTATACAATTACTATTGTAACTATATGTCCGCAACGAATTGAGATTTGGAAAACAAACTTATTGATAATCGCCATTGACTATTGCTAGTGAATGAATTACGACCCAGACAATCGTACGGGTATCCTATTTCAGCAAACAAACGTTTCCTTGAGTTGAACATACAAAAGGAATATGTAATACAGGAAGTGAGTTTCAGATCGGTATATTCCCGCTATATCTAATCATTCCCTCTAGATCAAAAATGGCTGAGGAATTAAAACAAAAAGCAAAATGCAAAAATTCTCAGGCAATCGCAAATTAATATGCATGTATATGAATCACTTACCAGGCCATAATTGTCTACCTGGCAAATGACAACACTAACATATCATAACCCGTAATGAACTAAACTGCACCGTATAACTCATACATGTAACGGCACGAACAAAATATCAATATTCATTCATAAATATATTGAAGTAATATGAAGTCCCATCGCAAATTTATTTCGGGGATCTCGAAACTAATTCACGTGAAAATTGTCCAACGACAGCTTCATCCGGCTTGAGCGATCTTGTTGAGAAAGAACATTGAAGAAACAGGGTTTAATTTTCGAATAAGCTATAATTTAACTAAGCCGATTCTACATAGACAAGGTTTACAACAGCGTACCCTTGTGTACATTGTACGATGAAGTCGAGGGATGGTGATTTTGGAGAACGGAAAGGTCGGGGTTGACAAGTATACCCGGTTTGAGGAAAGCGGTGTTCCTATCACGGGAAGTGCATTATAGCTGGACTCATCACACTGTTTTTGTTTAATGGATCATTCATGGAGATAAAATATGAAAGAGCTTTAAATTTTATGTCATGGCAGGCGCGTAATTCCAACTCAGCGTTCCTCGGGGTTCGGTTGTTCTTAGTATCGGCCTCGCTATGTGCGGCGTAACTTCAGTGTTTACATGCCGCGTTCGTACTGTTCGTGGAAATTCATGGATTATACAGTAATATGTGTAAGTTAATTCACCTCAGTTGAAACATCCTAATGCTGGAAACATCCAGATGCATTCCTTTTATCGCCACTTTTTGGTCACTGTGTGTGGAGCGATATGTGGCATCAAAATATTGTCAGTTTGAGCTTTGTTAGATTGATATCGTCGATACCCCTGACAACGAAACGTTTCATTGTTGTGAATATGGTAAACTGTAGTTTAAGCTTATTTCTTTTTTAAAACAATACTTAATAAAATAATACTTAAATAATTAACAATTAGTCAAGATACATTAATAAAAAAATATAATGATGAATATAGTAGATTTGGCTTATTTTTCACGGCGAGTTTGGTTTATGCAATGGGAGACAACTCGAACGACACTGGACAATTGGGATTGGGAAAAATGTTTAAAAGTAGTCCCATGGAAAAAAACAGCCGTACATACTAATATTAAAAGTTGTATTTTTGTCACATGTGCTGCTATTAACCAATCACAGAACCTGTATCACAGCGCAAAATCAAATTTTGAATTATATGTATATAACCTTCACTAGGAGGTACGGTGGTGTAGTGGTAGGACGCCGGGCTCGTGACCGAAAGGTTACGGGTTCGAGTCACGGCACGGCACTGTGCTGTATCTTTTAGCAAGATGCTTTACTCCGCTTGTTCCAGTCTACTCAGCTGTAAATGAGTACGTGGTTGGGCAGTGTTAGACTTGTGGAATGCTAGCTGTTAGCGACAAAATGGCAGCTCAGGCTGTATGCTCCCTAGGGAGTTGAGAAAGGTATTGGCTGGTTGCAAAGGCCTCATAACCACGGATAATAATTTGTGAACCGCTTTGAGATGACCTACGAACTAGGTTGTGATAAAGCGGTATATAAGAGCCTCGAATTATTATTATTATTAATGTTAAGGTGCCATAACCAATAAGAATACTAAAATTTCATATATTCATGTAACCAATAATCACAACAAAGTGAAATATACAAACAATGCTTACACCAAAATTCCAAATATTACAAACAAAAACACTTACAAAGTGTAATATATAAACAACGCTTACACCATATTATAAACAAAAACACTTATAATATCCCAAAACAAAACTAAATTTTCATTTACAGCACATGGCAACACTGAAATATCATTTATAACTCACAGCAACAGTGGAATATCATATATAACCTAGGGCAACATTTAATATATATATAACCCATAGCAACTCCAAAATATAATTTATTACCCATAGCAACTCCAAACTGTAATGTACAAGCAATGGCAACGTTATTATATCATATCTAATCTCAGCAACACTATAATATATATCAGCCATTACAACACTTAACCATCATTTGTAGCCGACAGTAACACTGCAGTATCAAATGTATCTGGTCACTTAAGCGTTAGATATTACCCATTAAAATACGTGAATATCTTAAATGGTACTGAATATTGAATAATATAGTACTTTATAAGTCAGCAGTGAAGAGTCTGATAAATAGTTTGCATTATAAACATTCTCAGGTAATGAATCAATCGAATCATTGTTCAATTAGACACTATTTCTATTGAGAAAGAAAGACAACTGTTAATGTTATAAATTCAAACAGAAAACACCTTAGTTTAACAGACTGATACTTTTTGGTAGTTTGGAATAAAGCCAACAGGAAAATAATATAATATTTCAACACACTTAAATCATTTTTATCTTAAATGTTGAAGAGTCGTGTTTCTGGTCTTCCACGATACAAACGGCACTAGTGAAACGAAAATACAAGAAGGAATGGAATTTACAAGGAGAAGGCAACAGAGACACGGGATTAATGAACAATAGAAACGCAGAGTGTTCTGAATAGTGAACAGTGTTACTAGCGCCGTCTGTGTCGGAGAAGATCACTACTACGATCTCACATTAAATCTCTTCAAGCTGTTACTCCCCCCTCTCTGTCTGTCTGTCTGTCTGTCTGTCTGTCTCTCTCTCTCTGTAACACTAAACTTAATTGAAAATATCAATTAATTTAAAAATTGCCATCTTGTATATATTTATTTCATTATGTTATTGGGAAAGGGCTTTACATAAGTTGGACAACTTGTGCCCAGTCCCTTTTGTACATTAGATGCAAATAAAACTTTGTTTAAATCAATGGACACACAACTATAAAATAGGAATACAAAGTCGATAAGAAGAGCAAACAACATAACAAGTATGATGTCATAATAACGATAATGGCAATAACCGGCTCATGGCATTCATAGTCTAAATGTACGATCTGAAAGTGGTAAGGTTATATAGTAACGATGCCATATGGTAAAACATGTAAATAGATAAAAAAGACAAAGAAACAGAACACCAGAGTGTCTGAAAAAGATTGTTTTATTCCCTATACCATACATTAGTAGAACATATAATCACTATCTAGAAGACTGCTTTTAATGTGCCACGTCTTTGATTCTTTTCTTTGCTATTCACACCATTTCGCTTCCTTTTTTCAACAAATTTGACCCTGTTTGAAGCAAATGCATTATAGGTAGATATGCAGTTAAGAATTATAATAAATATCATTATTATTATATTGTTGCAAAATTGAAACTAATGTCTACAAATACAATAAAAGAAGCATCTGTTAAAAAATGCATATGTCTAAAAAGTAAAGTGTTGTTGCACCAAAAAGCAATTAAGTACAACGAAACACTTATCAGTGGTTCCTAAGGTCTGAAAATAATATCCGCTTCTAAAATGTTCTGAAACTACTAAAAAATTCAAGGCAAAGAAATGGTGCATATTTATACTTAAATGTGGTGACAATCTTCTATATCAGAACATAATTCATTTTCCGTTATAATAATTTTGAATGTTTTGGTGTAGCAGGCAGGGTTTTAAGCTCCAACAGACTCTAGCAAAATGTATAAGTACAATTAATAATATTCATGTACTTTTTGTTTGTTATGAATATTTACTTAAATATAGCTGAATTCTTTATATTATTTCGTATTGACAACAAAAGCTTCAGGTAAAGACTCATGGTCAGTTTACATTATCAGTAGCGAAACACCAATAACAAACTAATGGAGAAACGGAATGCCTCTTTAACAATTTACATGTATATAATATGAAAAGAATTATTTGATGTCAATTGCATACTGACCTATGAACAGTGTACCGTATACGTTTATATAGTTTACATTATCTGACAGTAGTAATCTGTAAGGACTATAAACAACTTAAGACATTGTTTTTGTAAAGCTACACAAATCAAGCGTACCACTGAAAAAAAATACCATCTTCTTTATGAAAAAAACCTGTGCCTATAAGGTGTAATATTGCGTTACCGATATCATTGTCAGCGCATTGGCAGAGATAAATAAATAAACTTTCCATCCGCGAATGGAAAGTATGTGGATGTGCTCCGGTATACTACAAAACACAATGGAATCGTGTCCTAAATCGAATTCAAATCGTTTATTTATCGAAAGACCCTATTGAGGACGGTCTGACCATCTATGCAAAGAGAAAGTCGGTTATTTTGGATTTTGGTATAAAGAGTTGATTTTGACGTTAAGAACGTAATTATCAAGGAACTAATCTATTATTTTGGATGTAGTGTTGCTTCAAAAACGATTCTTTTCATATATCTGACAGCGATATTTCAATTAATAACACCTGTTCCGAACAATAAGTATAGCAACACCGAATAACAAAGAACTCAAAAAGCAGTTTAAATTGATTTTATTGATAACATTAGCAATTATATAAGATTGCATATATTAGAGATTCCAGCTAGACAAAGTGTGAAATGGTTATGTGTCCGTTATATAAAAACAACATTTGCCTTTCTACATGAATGACATGAATATATCTATTGTTAGATATATATCAATTTCTATTGCTATTTATCCCTCAAAGAAACCTGATTGTCGTTTTACTGCACAGGCGAAAATAATAGGTTTTCATGATCACGTACGGAGTCAGTGTGTATGACAATGTTATAAACCATGTGTTGAACACATTTCAGTCATTTTCACATATAAGGATATTTTTTTGATTATGCTTTGCTTGGTGAAGACAACAAAGTGTAATTGGTGATAAATACATTATCCAGTCCACCTCCGGGGTATATCATTCCCGTCACTGCCATGGTCACTTGATTACGCAGAGTGCATATAGTCTTCTAGTATAAATTTTAAAAAAATCCAGAACAAATAAACAATAGACATTATCATTTCAGATATAGTCTAATGTAAATATTTTGTTTTGTGTATAAATGTAAAAAATAGGTGTGATATAAAGGAAGAGTTCTTTTTATCAGAGGTCTTTAACAATAGTTTTGTTGATGTAGACAATTTCGTTAAACACGGAAATGCGCTTTTCTTAAAAATAATTTATTTACATTGTACATACTAGATCACTTCATTTCTTCCAAAAGTAGAATTTTGTAATTACGTAGGACGAGCTTAAACAACTGTCACGAAAACAGTGTACTTTGAACAATGTTGATGCTTTAAGTTTCATAAAAGAACTTATATATCGAGGTATTAAACATGAGTAAGTTTAGCAGTTGTATAAGGTTATCGTATTTAGTGTTTTTCGCGTAATTAATATCGTGATATTGTTTTTTTGCGTTGAGTTGAGTTTTTATTGTTTTCCATGTGCATATTTTTTGAGTGCTCAATTCTTATTACATTCGATAAGATACACTAAGATGTGTGCGTAGATAGAAGCATTAACATACATAAAGGACATTACTATTGGTAAGTAACAACGATCTCTAATAATATGCTTGATCTTGTTATTGTTACAGGTGATTTAAAACATATTTTAATCATTTCTCCATGTTTAAATACAAAATACATTTTTTTATTTGATTTTTATGCAATCGTGCCTTCCACAAACACGTGTCTATTAATCTTTGTTCAATGCTTTGAGGAGCGATGGCGCATAATCCTGTTTGTTACATGGTCTGACAATAATATGCATGTTTGTGATATGGGTAGATCCCATGTTTCCTTCTATTTCGAATTCTCCATCAGAGAATGAGAGGGCGCTAACATCATTATAAAATTGTTTCCTTTTAAATGAAAATGTCTCGGTACTGTTCTTGTAGTACATGGTGTTGTACCAATGCGGGTCATGTTCTGTGTAGCCGGGTTTAGTGAGACCAACAGCTAACCAGTTGGTGTAGTAGTCATGGTTGAATGGCACTGCCCACATCACTACCGCACGCCTGTCCTTGACGACCCAGGAAACTGAGCCATACGTCCCTGTAGCCGTTCCTCCAGTCTTATGAGCCACCTGTTGAAAATAAAATCCATGATGTAATAGTCTCCTTTGTGTTTTTCTCGTCAATGTTTGAATGTTTGTATAATGAAAAAGAAATTCCAAACGATTGTTATGCATATTGTTATTAATATTATTTTGAAAATATGGAAAATATTCCCGCATTGTATATACGTTAGCAGATTTAAGAATTAATATGATATGATATATAGGTACTATTCTGATATCATTTCAGGAAATGTATAAGTAGAATGGTAATGAAAGGATATTAGTCACATACATGCGGCTAAAATTAACATAATTGATCATAATCTCGTAACGTAGAAATATGTATCAAGTAATCAAAAATATAACTAGCTTACCTGTTTAATCAGTAAAATTAAAATGTTGAAAACGACACTTAGGTATCGGCATTACCATGAACGTGGACACTGGAATAGCATTATAGGTATCAAACTAATTATTACCATTGCCTCCTTGACACCCGGTAGAATATCTATCGGTGGGGTTTTAATCAGTCCGCCGTCATTGAACGCCGTAGGCTTCTCCAGAGTATACTTGGTCCAGTTAGCAGTCTCGATCCCGCAGGCTACACTGTACCCTCCACTGCTGGTCAAGGCGCTGACGGTCGTACCCGCTAAACTGGAGCCTGCTGCTACGGCGGCCGTTATACCCGCAATCATGTTGTGTCTATGCAACCAAAAAATATTGGAAATTTATAATAATATCTTAACAAAAAGGTGCACTGTTAAAAATGTACAGTTTCTTTGTCAAATCGTTTTTGACACATGAATACGCATGTGTTTACCTATTGAACTATTTGCGGGCTTCAACATCCTGGTAACAGATGAAGTCAAATGACGATGGAAGATATAGCTAGCCGAAATGAAAAATATTATAAAAACACAAAGGTTATCTGTTATCTTCCAACGTTGACATAGATCAATTTCGGTCTATATATAATCTCCTACAAAGACAGCGCAGAAGACAACAAACCCAAATTGTAAGGTGCCCAACAGAAGTCGGTTCGTGCGATTACAAACAATAACGTACAACAGGTTTATTCTGGTATATGCTAAACTTCAATAACAGTTCACTACACAATTATTTGATTAGCAGCTCAGAGTAAAAGGTAAAGCTAAACTGTAAAGTCAAATCCGATGTGAACAAGACATTTTTTTTCTATTTCAAAACCGATGTAAAGCCAAATATTAACCAAAGCAAGAATTGTATGGGGACGAATGAAAACAACCAGGACCAGGTGTCAGTGATGGTAAGCGTTTTCTACTTCATTAACATGTAAATCTAGGTGAAATCAAAGTAATCTTATGTCCTAAAATAGGAACTGAGGTATTGACAATTAAACAATATTAATCAAATTGATAAGAATGATATAAAAGTCTTTTCATATATCATATTCATATATGGAATTGCATTATTTTGACCTTTGGTATATATGATAATTTGAAGAAAGTGTTGCTTATGACACATGGGCTAAGTCACTCAACGAGCTTTTAATGTAAATAGGCGTAATTTGTGATTTTGTAAAGCTGTAAAACTTAAAGGATTCGGCAATAAAACTCACCGCGAGTTTATCGACCAGACTATAGGGATACGACAGTGAATCTAAACCGTGAAGCTAAGCGAGCACTCGAGCGAACAAAACAGCGTCTTCTAACTTTAAAACACCCGACTCACTGTATACTGTTATACGCAATCGTCATATTTAATTTATGTTTACGTCACTTTCAAACTTTGGTATTTGGCAATTTCTGAAGTGTTGTCGATACCGTTAAGAATAATTGAAATTCACAATTAAATGTATATATAGAGAAATAAATGAATAAAGAATATATCTGAAAATTATTTCGAACTTCTTTACTGTTTAATGAGAATGTACTTAAGAGAATCTGGATCATTTACATTAGTAAGCCGAGTCAACAATGCCTGGTGAACTAGTTTACTTAAAGTATTTTTCGGACCTGAGTTTATTTTACTTTATCAAGCGCTGACAATACTTTCAAAATGACTCAATACAGGTAAATACAAACATCGTAGCATAAACTTATGATTTCTGTTAAACAATATTCAAACACATACAATTAAAAACCATGAAACAACATCGTCAAACGAAAGTCACACTGATATTTAGTATATTTGCCATACGAATCTGTTTGAAATATATTTGTATGTACCTTTTGTAAAAGATAACTGATGCATTTAAGAGTGAATAAAATATGAATGTACTCACCAAATCTGCGAGTTAGATAAACTTGTAAGGCAGTTGTGTCAATAGCACCTTCTTCTTAGGACACGTCACTGTGTTAACAATGTTCTAAAGTTATGCAGTTCATCAATCTATATATATACGCTGGATTATCAGCGAAGCAGATCTGTTCCACTTTTAAATTTCTTCTCATATAATGGGCGTGACGCTCCATTGTATATGACTATTCAGTAGGTGTGACATTGAAAGCCTAACTCCTCATTGGATATCTCAGGAAAAGTATTTATCTTTATTTCAGGAAGTGGACGAAAAGTTTGACAAGCCCATTTCTGATTTTTTTGTGATGTTTACGTTTTCACAACATAACAACATAATTAAATGGTAATATATTAGCCGAGTCAACATATGATAATGTTACACATATACCATAGAAATGCCATCATGTCACAACACGAATATAACAACTTGCAATCACACTCAATCTGGTCATAATGACAATGGACTAGATGCGCTACAAGGGGATCTCTCCGACAAAAACAGATATGAGATAAAATAACAGAAAACATATATTGAATCTAAAGTGTTTTAAAAATGGTGAGAAGTTTGCTCTCATTTGGTTCGCTTAAATCTGATACCAAAATATGGACTGGTTTGGTCTAGGCTCATTAGGCTGATCAAAGTTTTGTCTGGTCTCATTTGGTCTGGTGTAATTGGTCTGGTCTCAAAGTTTTGTCTGGTCTGATCTGGTCTCGTTGGACTAGTCTCAAAGTTAGGTGTGGTCTTGTCTGGTCTTATTGAACTGGTATCACGATCAGTTCTCATAAGTCAGCAACTAAAACATGTTTTCAGTATTCTATTTACTAAATACAGCAGTACCAGGCAAGCCAAAAGCTGAACTAATCTCTTTGCCACAATACATTTATGACAGGTCAGGAACAAAAATTAGATCCCCATGCCGTCAATTCGCTTTCCATTCGATATTCCGTTTATAAAAACTGCTATCGGAATAAATGTTCGTTCAAGTGGCATGAACAATATCTCATATACAAAGTGTGTAGTATTTAAAATGAAGGCTTCAAAAACTGCTTATGCAAAAAGGAAGCTGATTTATGGTTTTAATTATTTCAATTATTAAACAAAAACAAAAACAAAACACGTTGGACTTGCAAAGAAAGATGGTAAAATTTGTCTATCGAAACATATGTTTCTCTGTAAAATCATTGTCACGGGAAATAATTTGAAATGTATTTTAATGTTTGTACTATAGTCGTACTTGAATTACGCGTAGAGCAGTCCACGCATCAGAAAGGATACACTTGCTTTAATAAGTATGTTTACGTTGAGAGACTTAAATGTGTTGATAGAAATCAGTGTTATTCGTGAAAACTTCACATCATCCCAATATAATTATATGTGAAAAAATACTTGTAATTGAGTGAGCGTTTCTTTAAAAGTAAGAATTTGTGCATCACCGACTTTTCATGAAACTAGACTATGAACCCTGTGCATAAATGCATGTTTTGACTTAAGTGAGGTTAGATACATGGCTTCTTTAAACCATCCTCGGTATGAAACAAATAAAATAAGAATCCAGTTAAAAATCCCTCTATTATCAACGACTGCTTAAAAATGTGAGATCAATCAAAGATGATAACGTTCCAGGGAAATGAGTTTTTGACTAAGGCTTCTATTTCTTTCCTTTAATAATCTAAAAAGCAATATGTGAAAAAAACTGATAAAACTGAAAAATGTTGTAGGCTTTAGCTTCCTTTCTTCCTTTCAGTCTCATATCATCTCTCTGGAACTAACATGAAAGGGAAAACTCATGACCAGAAGATAGAAATCGTATCGCCAATCGTACATCTTAATCATGCTGTACAGTAAATATCAAGGTAGGTGGTTTATGTAAAGGCACGATTGTAATGCCATCGTTGTTATGTCTACAACATATACAATGTACCTTTTTTGTTTGTTATTTAAGCATCTTACTTATACATGGTCTATGTATTGAAAAGTGAATTGAAAGGTCATGGTAAGGTTTCAATAAATTCCGTTTAATTTGGAAACAAAAAGCAAGTCGGCCAAGATAGCAGCACAGTTTCTGTTCCATTGGGATTGCCAAAGACAGGCTTAGGAAAAGACTGAACATTGTATCAACCAAACATTAATCCCCCAGTTTCATTATCAGCATACTTCTACATGGACTTTGCCATGCTTTTGCATAATATATGCCCAAAAGTAGTTAACAGTAATATTTGTGTATCCCTGCTTTACTTTAAGATACATCAGGGGGTTATTTAATGACCAAATTTTACTTTGGCTTTAGAAATGTAATTGTAATAAAGTAATGTGTTTAAAAGGTGACTGGAGCCGGACATCGGGACATTAAGATTGACAATGAGTTTGCTATATGTGCTGGAAACAAGCAGAAACGTGAGGTGACTTTAGTTTGAATCTGCGCGGTTTGGACACTCCTTCATGTATGACTATATACGGAAGGGACTTTGACTATGAGTGTATAAAAGTATACGGTGGTGACCAAATCTTGACAGGAAAAAAAATAGCGGTTGAGACCACCGTCGTCTTATGTTACAAAAACATGCCTTTCACGAACCAGTTTGAAAATAGGAAATGATAAACATATTTGAGAACTCCAAAGTCCTTTTTTCAATGCACAAGCTTCAGTTCAGTGCGTAACATGCAACCTTGTAGGTAGTAAACAAAAGAATGCATAGCAAACATAACAAAATACGTATTACATTTGTATCACACTGCTTACACAAAGATACACTGTGCATATTGATACGTATCTGGGTAAATACTGTCCCCAACGGGGTTAATGCCTCCCCTCCACCTACACAAACATGCACAAATGCGCTGTGTCAAAAATAGAGTTATCTTTATATCAATTATCATTTAAGTAAATGCATCAGAGCAAAGATTGATACACTGTTCATGTTTGAAGAAGTCGATATACCACCCACAATGAAGCCATACTGTAGATTCCGTGGTCACGTGACCGAGCATGACACAGTATTAACCTATTTCAGCAAAAGTTTTCCAGTATTTCCCTCCATCCATTATTAACATTGTTACACGAACCCTCAAAACAGAAGAAACGTGACTGGTACTGCATTTGACTTGCGTCTAAAGATCACCGAATCTAGTCGGCTGGGATCAATTTGCATCCAATTATTCAAAGAGCTATGGCGGAAAACTGCCCGTATTTCCCTAAGTCGGCACTTTTAAAAACAGAAAATAAAACATTTATGAGTAAATATATTTTAATAGCGAAAATGCATGGAATATATATATAACCAATGGAATATAAGTTTTGTAACTGTTGAGGTATTTAGTATTGTTAAAATAATATTGCAAATATAGCCATATTCACTAAACCTATGACAGTGACTGGTTTTCCTAGACTTAAAAAAATACTTTCAATACTTTCCTATCCGATTAC